ACATGATTACATCTGAATGAACATGAAAGGAACATAACTCCAGCTGAATGAACATGAAGTGAGAATGACTACAGTTGAACGAACATGATGGAAACATAAAAATAGCTGAATGAACATGAAGGGAACATGACTATAGTTGAATGAACATAAAGGGAACATGACTACATCTGAATTAACATGAAGGGAACATAATACTAGCTGAATGAACATGAAGAAAACATGACTATAGCTTAATGGACATGAAAGGAACATCACTACAGCTAAATGAACAGGAAGGAGACATGACTGAACATGAAGGGAACATGACTATAGCTGAATGAACATGAAGGGGACATGACTATAGCTGAATGAACATGAAGGGAACATGACTACAGCTGAATAAACATTGCAGATTGTAACACAAAAGTATATTCTGGTATTTTGAGGTTTAAGAGAACACTACCAAGTATGCGTGAAAGCAGTATGCTGATCATATTGATCAATGCTAAGTGTAGGTTGATGCGATCCAGTGCCGCCTAATTGCATACATTACAGTATCTTTTCCTAGCTTATGGTGATAATTTAAATTACAACAAAAATCAACTTTCTGTGACAGAATTCTTTTTCCAACCATGTGTACTTCTGCATCTGATAAAAAAACAAAGGTCTCAACAAATCAGTGATATGTGTTGTATCATCTTGAAGGTCACACTGTCCATTCTGGCATCTTTTCTTTAAAATAAATGACTGCCAACAACTTAGATTTTAGTAATTTTGGTATTTTTCTACGTAACGACAATATGCCTATTATCTTGCCTTTAAAGCGAGCAAGTCGTCACCTGCGCACACGCAGGAATTGAGTCCCAGGTGACGATAACAACACGCGCTAAAAAATGCAAAGGCTCGTGGGTAGACGCTTGTTTGTAAACAATGACATGCTATGGCCATTTGACGCATGCGCTGGTGACCACTGCCTCGCTTTAAATGTTTTGCAGTTGACATAAAAGCATCGTTTCTCCAAAGAACTTAAAAATATTTCGCTTTAGATCCACAATCGTGTTCTGTATTTGATTTTTTTCGGCCCATAAGCATTTTCTCTTAATTATGTTCCATTTTTTGTTGTTGTTGAAGATATCCTCTCCCTCTAGGGTTTTATCCTTTTCACCACCAGAATTTTCCGCCCAAATTTGTCTGCACTATTTTTATTCTCATAATCTTCAATATTTCTGGAAATAAACTCTAATTTTGAAGCCAGCAGACAAAATTTGACTCAATTTTCTGTTTTTACAAAAAATAATTTGGCTATTCTTATCTCAATCTTCTGAAGGAAAGTGCAGACTATAAACAGAACTACTGTAAAACGACTAATTTTCACTGGGTTTAAATTTCGCTGATTTACCATTTCACGCATATTAAATTTTATCATTTAGGCTTAGATAATGTGTTCTATGCTAAATTTTACATACTCACTGGGTTTTAATTTAGCGCATTTTCGAATCAGAGAAATAAGCAAAATTAAAACCCAGTGAATAATTAACCCCTTTACAGTATGTGTATTTTGTGAATTTGGGATGTAAAGAGGAAACTGGTGGTGAAATGGTTAATGCTGGTTCATAAGTGTGATATTTAATTTTTTTTTTTTTATATTATAGTTTCATTCGCACATGTTTTCAAACTCAGATTTTCCGAAACAAAACTGGATTACATTACTTCAGCTGTGAGCACTACTCCTGAGAGATCATATGGCAGGCATGTTTTATTTTGTGTTCACAACGTGTACTGCTCAGACCCAGGGAATACAATGTTCCTTGAAGGTGTGGCCCAAAGCACTTCTCTGATATGTGACGTGAATCGATGAAATCGTTCGTTCGCGACATAGACACTGCTTTAAATAGTCGTTGTCTGTTAACAAAAAAGAAATTTAAAAGCCAGTGAAAACTAAATGTATTTACAGTATTGTCTGAAACAGTATTCAGAAAAAAACATAACAGACAATTTGTGAATATGCTCAAAATAGTGCAATTGAAAACTAATAAAAAATAAGGATTTTGCAGCATTTAAGTTTAAACCCAATCAGACTGAAATCTGACATACCATAGTCATATGCTTCAATAGGTGATTTTCCGTACAACTGCGAGATCTCGCGAGATGCATGAAAGACGCGCGTCAAACGTCTGCCGCAAAAATCGAACGATTTGATTTTGAACTCGAATTTCCTTATTTCGTAGCTCACACCGACCGGCCGATCTTTGACAGTGGAATATTGCATTCGAATATCCTCTTTTAATCGAAATTGCCCATCATCAAATGTGTACAGCACATTATTAAGCATGGAAATGTCACCGAAAATACTTTCGCGTTTGTCGAATCTCACGCGATGTTTGACGCCACTACGACGCTATGACCTTTGTTTGTCCTGTTTTTACGTTCGATTTCACGCATAACGCGTGATTCTCGCAGTGAACGGAAAATGGTCTGTTTCTATGGTTAAATTTTTATGGTTTTTTGTTTGTTTATTTATTGACATTTTATATCTCGTTTCTGGAAAAACTGCAAAATAAACATGAATAAAAAAAAATATGAGAAGTAAAAAAAGAAAAATTGAGCCTGTTTACTTGCATTATATTTTAATCTGCTTGTTTAAAACAAAAAATGCAGATAAAGCAGACTTACCGTAAGTTGGCTTTATACATATCAGAATAAACTTATTTGTTGATGGCTATTTATTTTTTTTTGAAACTATTTATTGCTTTTAAGAATGTTGTAAAGGTTTTTTTGCAAATAAATCTATTTAAATTATAGTTTCTTTTTAATGTGTACATTGATTTTGTTGTTTATATTTTATTTTTTCAATGCATATTGAAGTTAACAAGCAACCGTCAGAGTTGTGTAAACAGATTTCACATGCAACGAAAAAGAAGGAAAAAAATTGTTCTAAAACAAAGTGGTTTTGATCCTTTGACTAAACTTCAAGTACACTCTAAAAATGCTTGCCCAAGTAAAAAAACACTATTTACCCAGACAAATGTTTTCCCTCTATTGGTGAAATTTTTTGGGCATGTGCCCTCTAGTGGTGACTTTTCATGGCATGTGTCCTCTAGTGGTGACTTTTCATGGCATGTGCCCTCTAGTGGTGACTTTTCATGGCATGTGCCCTCTAGTGGTGACTTTTCATGGCATGTGCCCTCTAGTGGTGACTTTTCATGGCATGTGCCCTCTAGTAGTGTTATTTTCTTACTATGTGCCCTCTAGTGGTGACATTTTATTGGCATGTGCCCTCTAGTGGTGACATTTTATTGGCATGTGCCCTCTAGTGGTGACATTTATTGGCATGTGCCCGCTAGTGGTGTTATTTTCTTGCTATGTGCCCTGCAGTTGTGACTATTTTTGGGGAAAATCCAGAAGATTCAATTGAAGTTTCTAAATCTGAATGTAGTCGAAACAATGTAAGTAAAAACCCAAAGTTGTCATTTATGTCCTGCTCTTGTTTTTAGAGAGGAAAATTATTAGTATTACCAAGTAAATAGTTTTTTAAGGCCCTCCTCACCCCTAACCTGAACCCTAAATCATCCACCCCCCCCCCCATGTAATTCAATATCCCCCTCTAAATAATGTTACGTGAAGGTATATACAATTGAAATGGGGGGGGGGGCACTAAAGAGGCACTTTTTAGGATCAGTGTTATGAGGGAGGGGGTCCTAAGGAACTCTTACCATTACAAAACAAAAAAAAAAGGATCTGGACCTATTTGTAAAGATACAGCTACAACTCTTTCACAACTAGTCTGAATCCATCAATGTTTGTAAAACTATGTTGATGATCGTTAAATAGTGAATATGTTTCCAACGATTTACAGTACTCTGTTGCGTAATACAGAATATAGATCAATATTTTATTGTTGAATTCTGGGCTACTAATATCAACATGACATCCCTGGATACAGGTGATACATTTCACACGATGACATCATCACTCTATATATGGGCATCAGCAACATACATTTACTGTAACACTGTAGAATACTTTATTTTCACTCAGAATTTCTTTTGCTATTTTCACGGAAGGGGATGAATCAGTGAAACTAAAATTTAGTTTTATAAATTTAAATTTAATTTTTTTTTCTATATTTTATATTCAACTCATCAAAAAATCAGTGAAAATAACAGAACAGCCAAATTATTTTTTAACGAAAGTTAATTCTAGCTAAAATAAAATAGTCAACAGTATTACATTTTTTGTTTTTTTTAGAGTTTGTTTAAAATGGGAATAATCTATTATAAAAATGTTTAATTTACTAATTCATTGATTTTTTTTTTTTTTGAAAATGAGCAGATTTATTTGAACATAGTAAAATCAGCACAGACATTGCCAGATGGGGTTTACCAAGTCGCATTATGCGTTTATTTTAGTATTTCGAGACTAAAAATGTGGAAATTCTTGTGTTGTCTGTTGCCGATTGGTGCGGTTGTGATATGGGGCTACCCAGCAAGGCAAAAACGATATCCAGGCAAGTAAACTATTAATCTGATTGGAATAAGATCCTGGTTGGCTTAATTTTTATATATATATATAATTTTTATTTATTTTAGTTATTTTTTGACATTATAATTAAAATTTTTGAAATTAAGCAGACCAGAATCTTATTTTAATAATCAGATTGGTAAATAATCAGCCATTATACTCTGAAAATGTTTTATTTATAAATGAATTGTCTTAGGGACAACGTCTAAAGATCGATGTCGGATAAAAAACTTATTTGCTTTAGTTTGGGGGTGGGAGGGGTTTTGACCTCAAAAAGTTTCCATCCTACAAAAACGATTTTATTTTTTAATGAAGTCAACCCAAATCTTGGAGTATTTGTATTTCGTTTTTTTTCTATCCAATCATGGACAAAAATAACCGAAAATGAAAAAAAAAAAAACATCCAAGAGAAGAAAATGGTTTGGTCTGAGTATAAATATGTGCGTCAAATGAGGTCAATTTCAGGGCATGGACCTAGAATCAACTGCCATACTACTGTCCGATTATAAACTTGTATTTAATGGTGAATGTAGTCTGACGCCATGATCAATATTTATCAATTAAGTTTCAGTGGGAGGTGGGGGGTTTGAGAAAAAACTAAAGATATTAAATTTGTTATCCTACGTTGAACTTTTGATGCTTTCCCTTATCTTGCACAGTCTGTGAAACAACAAACAAAATGGCAATCTTGCCACTCTGACGTTTGTACGTTTTCTATACTTGATATGATACATAGAGTGGCAAGGATGTATAAAATAAGGGTTTGCAACTCTCTTATTCCCGGGGACGGACATCCGGGTATTTTCACTGTCTGGCAACCATCACGGTGAAAACAAAGGCCAAAAACTGCCAGAAAAACGGTACTTTGGGATAGTTGTTGAGACTCCCCTGAACAATGTAACAAGATTACCCCCTGCATGTCCAACATATATAAATTTGGGTTGTCCAGGATTACTGTGGATACTTTTTTTTCGCTGGAATTAATTTTCGCTGAAATGGCTTTTTGGGCGTTTTGTATGGAATTTATTTTTACTGATTTTTGATGAGTTTAATGTGAAATATAGGATAAAAATGTATATTTGCTGGATTTTATTTTCACGGAATCATCCCTTCAGCGAAAAAAGCGAAAATAAATTGCCAAGCGAAAATAAAATATTCTACAGTATTTCAAAGTTGATTTTATGCTGTTTTCCTTGAATTTACCTATTTTCACTAGTTCTTCAACCGGCGTTCCACAGCAGCGCGCACAGAGCCCATAGAAATACATGGTACAGTGGTGCGCGTCTTAGCAACGTGGAACGTCTTGTGACGTAGCCCCGCCCCCAGGATAACTGTGCAGATGGAGATCTCACGAGAAGCGATGTCTTGCGATGTGTGAATGCATGAAAGCGATTCCATTCTATGATCGTACATTTCATTCTAACCAATAGCATCACAGGTAGCTGTGGGTGCACAGAAATATTTGATCCAATAAGCGAGAATTTTCGCTGTATTCAAAAACGTAAAACGCACACATCTCACGCTTTGCAACCAAACACAGTATGAGCTAGATGAACACGAATCAGTTCTTTCGCAGACTTACGATTGCGATTGTGTAATCATCTCAAAATTTTCTCAATTTCTTCCATTCGTGTATAACTTGCGTATCACCACAATGTGATGTAAGACTTATATCACTGTTTTAAACCAAACTTTTTATCATAAGCACTACGTATGCCTGAACGTTGTTCGCAACATCCAGGGTTATATACAGACTGCGGTAACAATAGTTCAATTCGGCAAGATCACATGTGTATTTCAGCAATATTATTTACCGTAGTCCCTCCAGCAAAATCAGTTGAAATTTGAAAAAAAAAATTCTAAAGAAAATATAGAGCAGAATCACAAAGGGTTCGTGTGAAATAGAAAACCTTGTCATCAACAAAATTAGCATACGAGAAACGCGAAATGATACATTTCGCTATGGCATTCTGTGGAAATATGTACTGTAAAATACTTTATTTTAGCTGGAATTCATTTTCGCTGAAAAACTTTTTGAGTGTTTTTTGGATGGAATTTATTTTCACTGATTTTTGACAAGTTGAATGTAAAATATAGGAAAAAAGGTGTATTCGATGGATTTTTTGTTTTTGTTTCCTTCAGCAAAAATAACAAAAATTAATTTCAGGCGAAAGTGAATATTTTACAGTATTTGGTAAATAAATAATCTCACTCTGATAACCACTTGTGTCTTATATATATTATAATTATTATACTGTCACCTGTTATCTGTCACCACAACGGCATAAGTTACATTAATCCTCCATCCTTCATCCTACCATATTAGGAAATGCGAATTCCAAATATGGAGCGATTACGTGCCTTATCATCTTCTAATAATAAAAACCAACGTGGCAACCGAGAGGATTTAACCGGACATAACACAAAGAAGTTTGCTAAATCTATTCAAAATTTTTTGGATTTCGGTATTCCCATTATCTTTGGGAGGAAAAGATGTATGATAATAAAGTTATTATGAGGATACTGCAAAATATGCACTCAGACAGTACATGGTCCACTGCGCGTCGGTCGATACTCCTGCTGTACTGTCTTCGTGCATACTTTTCGGTATCCTCATAATATACTACATGTACCTGTTCATATCAATCTCTCAGCTGTATTAAATAAATAAAAAACAAATTCTCAATCCTTATTGCTGTACAGTGATGCCTGGAGTCTGTGTTGAAAATAAAACATTTCTCGATCCTAACTGGTATGAAAATTTCACTTGTGGAAGCTTGTGTATTGCCGATTTGGACTGCCCCAGTGATGAGATTTGTTGCCATAACGACGATGAGTGTGCAAAAATTATTGAAGGTTATTACAGTCCAGGTATGTGATTTTTTTTGCGCTCATAATAAAGCGCCCTCTAGTGACTGATGTCAAGTAGGATATTTTAATGGTCTGTGAACTGTTTTAGTTTCACACAAGAAAATATTCGTCTCCACAAAAGCTGTCAATATATATCGAGAAAATTAAAGAGCAGTGGTCATTGTGCAGCACCTTTTAGAATGTCATGTATTTTACACGTGTTGTATACGTCGCTATGGGTCCCATATAGAACAGGACACGTCACGACGACTACCCTCCTTTAATAGCAATGTAATTATTATGAACCATCAGCTGACAAATTCAAAATCATGTATTCATGTATGTATTGTGCACTGATAAACCCCAAATAACGATGGCAACCGATAAAAACAATTACGAAATTCATTTTGATAGATTTTCTATGGCCTAACATGTTGTTTTGTGTTTTCAGTTGACATCAATCGAAATCTTGGTGAATGTCCACGTGATGTTTCGGATTTAGCATTCTATAATTGCAAACAACTTTGTCATCCTGAGAACGAAACCGATGACTGCTATTATTATCAAAAGTGTTGCTTCACAGGTGATTGTTTTGAATGTGTGGGGGCCATGACACGTAAGTTTTATTTAGTTTAGCCTTATTGCTTTGTATGAGCCATTGAATACCCATGGTTACATAGGTCAGAGGAACAGTCCACACGATATCAGAGGGAGAATGGTACATTATTGAGGGACAAATACAGCTCTCATGGTTCTCTCACTCACAATGAGATCTCAGCAAAATATTTGTGACTAAGAACTAAGATATTGCTAGTTCAGCTAACAATGTATTCTTTATAATGAAATAGTTGGCACTGAAGGGACATGATAGGTGTCTAGGTGTTGTTTGCACATGCATAGAAACTGTCTAGGTGATATTTACATATGCATAGAAACTGTCTAGGTGCTGTTTACATATGCATAGAAACTGTCTAGGTGTTGTTTGCATATGCATAGAAACTGTCTAGGTGTTGTTTGCATATGCATAGAAATTGTCTAGGTGTTTCTTGCACATGCATAGAAACTGTTTAGGTGTTCTTTGCATATGCATAGAAACTGTTTAGGTGCTGTTTACATATGCATAACAACTGTCTAGGTGTTGTTTGCAAATGCATAGAAACTGTCTAGGTGATGTTTGCATATGCATGGAAACTGTTTAGGTGCTGTTTACATATGCATAACAACTGTCTAGGTGTTGTTTGCAAATGCAT